CTATTGATGTCAAAGGTCATGATTTTGAGCTGTTGCCATTTGGGGCTGGAAGGAGGATGTGCCCTGGATATCCTCTCGGGATTAAGGTCATTCAAGCAAGTTTGGCTAATCTTTTACATGGGTTCACTTGGAAATTGCCTGGTAACATGACGAAAGAAGATCTCAACATGGAGGAAATCTTCGGGCTCTCCACCCCTAGAAAGTACCCACTTGAGGTTGTGGCAGAGCCTAGGCTCCCACTTCATATGTACGCTCAGTGATAGAGTCTCTTTAGAACAACTGAGACTATAAGGTAGTACGAGAAAAAATAATAATAATGGTAACTGGCGTTGGTCTTGTAAAATAAATCAGCTTCTTCTTTTTTTTTTTTTTTTTAATAATGGCAGGCGTGTATTTAATGCAAGTTGACTTAGCCTCTCCAAATCCAGTTGTCTTTTTTATTACATTTTTACCTTAGTAATTACAGATAAATTATCAATAATATTCAGCTACGTTTACTTTAAAATTTTCAAAAAATAATTTTTATATTTTATTATATTTGTTTGACATCATAATCAAAATCAGGGGTGTTTTGTTTTATATGTTGCTCCAAGCTTGGCAAAACATTTTAGACCAATAAATTTTGGGATCGGGTCTAAACTTAGATTTTAAAGCTTGACCCAATTTATTATTTTAATAATTGATAAAAAAATTTTGTGATCATTAAATTTTAAATTTATGGATGTTATTTAAAATTATTATGTAAATATAAATTAATTAAATTTAATTTTGAATTTAATTTTTAATAATATTATTAATACAATTTTATAATATGTATTTAAATGAATTTAGAAATGTGAGATGAGAACTATAACATTTTTATTTTGATTGAATTTATAAGATGAGAAATAAAAAGAAAGGAAAATAGAAAATCATTAGCAATTAACAAAAATCCCCCAAACGTAGAAAAATGTTGTCAAGCGTCGTTCAAAAGCTAACCCGTCGCCGTTTCTCAGCCTATCCGTCTAATATCATCACAATTTACTTCTCCGGCGACTCGGGATCTAATAACTCAGTGCTTCTTGCAAGGACCGAGTTGACTCGGACCCCAGTTCGGTGGAGGGATGTGACTATGAACACTGGTTCGTGGTAATGGAGGCTCTCAAGGGATATCCACTTGGAGATGAGATCGTCAACATTTACATTAAGACCTTAGCAATGGCTTTGGGAAGGTAAAAATCCATGCTTTTTCCTTTTTTTTTCTTTTTGCAGTCCAAAAATGGGGTTTTTTTTTTGTTTAAATTTTGGTATTAACACGCAGTGATGAGGAAGCCAAGAAATCTATATACTCTGTTTCCACCAAGTACTACTATGCATTTGGTTGCAAAGTCCCGGAAGCTTTGACTCTTAAAATTAAATGTAAGCTTTTTCAATTTTATTCATGTGTTTTCCTTTCAAAATTCATTCTTTTTTCAAGATTGTAAAGTTGCACAGAATTGTGTTCGTTGCTTGCAGCTTTGCCTAATGTGAAATGGGTTTTACCAGATTCTTATTTAGGCCATGGTGATAATGGCTATGGGGGTAAGGTTTTTGCTTTTCATTGTCTTACTCGCTTCTCATTATGCAAATTATTCTGTTATTAAGATATTGAATTACATGCAATTTATCAAGATAGTAGATTTCTTTTTTTTTCGATATACTTCTGCTTGACTGCTGGCTAACAGACTAATAATTTCACTTTGTTTCTTCTGAGGATGATTGAAAATAGTTTGAAAGATAAATGGAAAGGCATCGGAGAGAATGCATTTAAGCATTTCTGATGATGCATCCTTAGTTGACTACTTGTGAACTCCTTTCATGGATTACTCCATTTGGCCTTTGTCCTCTAACAGCAATGAAATTGCTCAGTTCTGTTCTTCATATCAATAGAACTTATTGGTGCTGCTCGTGTTCATTAAACAAGAATTTGAAATACTCGAGACATCGAAGTGAGGTAGCTCATGTGCAGGAAGTCAATCATTGATGCTTATGTTATGCCTTTATGTAGCAAAATGAAGCTCCTATTTTGTTGTAATCCACTAATCCTCACCCTTCTTAGGTGTTAAGCTCTATTGCCCAGCAATCAATATCAGTAACTCACTATGGTGTTGGGAGAAGAATTTGTCTTCCATTGCACTTGGTAGATCTGAATGGCATTGAATTCACTCATCTTGTGAACCTTGATAGATTGAAACCTATTATACACGAGCTATTCTGTCTCCCTTTATAACAATTGCAGCAAATTCTCTCTGCAGTTGGATAGTTTTCTTATTTAGTACTATGAGTTTTCATTTGTTCTGTTAATATGCCTGCGGTTTTTCCTTCCATTTCATTTAAATATCATTCACAAACAATTCTTTCTGCCCTCATAAGAAGTGAGTGTCAAGCAACAATGTGGTCATTTCTACAATGTCTTAAGCACATATGAATTTTTCATTTTTTGTGTTGACATGCGTATGGTTTTTTACAGGAGAACCATTCCCTGATGGGAAGGTTGTTCCGTATGATGACAAGTATCATTCTGACTGGATCCAAGTTCAAAATTAGGATGGAAGTAAAGGAACAACTTATCCAGAAAAAGCAAGGGAAAAACTAAAGAAAAAGTAGTGTTATTGAAGGCATGCTGCTGCGCTTTAGCTTCCAACTTATTTGAGTTTTAGAAGCTTACTCAATATTTTAGGAGAATTAAAGGAAAAGAATCAAATGCACCTGATCAGATGTTACATAGAATATCTTGTCAGTGGATCCTCAGATCTTTATTTCACTTATGGCTGTATAGATTATTGCTTTTGGGTGAAACTGATGATCAAAATGAATCTTTGAACCGCAGGTCAAAGCCTTGTAGAATGGGCTTGTAATGTGGGCTTGATACTGCATCTAAAAGGACCAGAGGCTCCAATCACCAGTGATTGGCCTAATACTGGTGTACTGAAAGGGAGGGAAAAATGACCAGGCAAGTCTTGGTTTGTGCAGCAAATGTTCAAGATTAAACCCTTTAAGGTATCGTTGATTAGTATTTTTCTTTTCAAGATAGTAAGGTGAGAGAAAGAGATTAATTCTCTAGCTATATCTAGAGTTTTTCTTTTTACTTCATGCTGGCTGTAACTTGAATTACAATTTGATTGGATGATTGATTTTTTTTATTCCTGTTATTGAGCTCTTTTTCTGTTTTTGATGGGATTGAGTCTTCTTCTTCTAAAAGAGACATTCTCAATACTTGCTCCCTCTGTACATCTGATGATTCAATAATAGAATTTAGGTACCAAAAATTGAAATGAAAAATGTAAGCCTAGCCAAGAATCTGCATGAGTCAAATAGAATCTCATAAGACAATTTAAGCTGTTCATGGTTATTTTCTTGGGACAAGGTTAATGTTAACTAGTTTCCTGAAGTTCCAGTATGCAGAGCCACAAGCATTAGTATGCTGGCAAGCCTGTTTTAATATGGAGATTCATATGCCTTGGGTTTAGCAAAAAGTTCATATTTCCTTTTTGCGACTCATTTAAGAATGAGTTTAGGACATTGATGGATGAAGTTCTTTCTGAAAATCTACTTGGTAATCTGTCTATAAATTAACTGCTTCAATGCCCATCTAGTACTTGTCTGGTGAATCAGAGCATTCACCTGTTCGTTATCTAATTAGAAAATTGAGAAAAAAAAAATTTTTCAACTATATTGAGGATAAATTATGTTTAATATTCAAAAACAAGAAAATACCTTCTGAAATACGGTTATATGAATGTCAGCAACCTTGGAATTGCGCCTGCTTTATAGAAGTTTGTAAGAAAATTTTGACATGTGACACATACAAGGCTTTGACTTTTGATAACAGTTTTAGTTTTAAACTGTTTTGAACAACGAATCATAATTTTTTCCACCTATATGCATATTACTGCAATTATTGAAGCCTCCAGCATAAATTTTGCAGTCTGAATGGCTGGTGTTGTGGTTTGTGAGTTGAAAGTGAGCAAATGGTTTTTACCAATTCAACAACATTAACAGTTTTTACCAATTCAACACCATTAACAAATTTATTTAGCATTCAATGAGTTGAGGGATTTCTATTTCATTGCACGTTTTGAACATTGATGCATTGATTTCACACATATAAGATTTATCAATCAAAGCCTCTTTTATGCAAGTTGGTGCAACATGAACATTACTTAAACATCTATTGGTTGAATCTATATATATATATATATATATATATAGATTTTATCTGGTTGGCCTTCTTATTGATTTCACACTAATGATGGATAACAACCGGCGAGTTATGCTGCTAATGCTTGTTCCTTGCCTCATTTTTCTACTTGAATCCAGGAAATTCTCGTATAATTTCTTATTTTACTAGGAATTATTAACAATGAAAAGTTATTTTTATTAAGCGGCAAGAGATTTTTAGGTTTTACTAAGTACATTTTCTTTTCAGACCGGTTTAAATAGACTTATCTATATCGTGTTTAGCTCTTTTTTTTTTCCTAATGGATTTGAGCCCAAGCAACAAAGAAAAGAGCATACTCTTTTTGCCTTTTGAGCCGACCATCCATCAGTACCAATGAATCTGGCTGGCTTCTGAACCAGAGATGGAACGTTCAAAACGGGGAAAGGCTAAAAACATGTGCGCTGAATCTGGCTAGACGGTGAGGATGGGGTTGGTGGGAGTGGTGGAATTGCAAAGTCTTGTGCGGTAGTCTAGCACGAAAGAATTTGTAACTCAACTTTTGAAACTCTGCATCAGACTCGTGGAAGTGGTCACCACCTTTCGGTTTGCTAACAAGACTTTGAACATGCCATAAGCTAGATTTGTCAGTTAATCTGATTATGGAATATTGACCATTTAACGTACAATCCAGAAGAGTTTTAGGTAAGTTTGCACTGATTACTAAGATCACTAAAAAAAATGAATTGCAGTCAATTGCTTTCAAGAAGTTTCAGGGAAAGTCAGAATTGGTTTTAGAAAAAAAAGCATAGAAACCCTGTGAAGTTATTGTGAAAAATTTTAGAACATTGTACATTAACATGCATGAATCGTAAATAATCTGTCGTCAAGCCTTTATCTTTGGCCCACAGCATAGGCTGATCGATGTTTCTGGCAAAGGGGATGAGAACAAACCGAAGGCATGTGTTTTCAAAGCAGAAACAGCCATGCCTTTCTTTCATAGGATAAGCTATGGAAACACTGGAAAAATTGGATCAGGACCCTATGGCAAAACACAATAAGTCCAACAACAAACAAAATGGAAACCTCAATGTGCAGTCTGATTACAAGTATGCTTGTTTGCCTTAATTATCTTTGGTGCTTGGGAGAGTACAAACTAGATCCCAGCGTTTTATACAAATCAGTGTCCGAATAGACAGCCCGAGACCTTGATGGCTTAACCTGACGTCTACGCCTTCGACCTTTTTGGCGCGGTACTCGGCTTTTCTCCATCTTTTCTTCCTTCTCTCCACCGTTTTTTTCAATTTTTATCTCGTCACATTGCTTTTCCTCTTTTTCTTCAATCTTCTGCACGATAGGCTCGTTATAGGCTTGAGTTGGAACTATGTATACAAAGGGTCCAGTTGGGATGTCAGTTAAGTCAAAGAGAGGCTCTAAGGCCTTGACCACATTGCTCATAGTTGGTCTAGATTTGGGGTGGCTGCTCAGACACTGATAAGCTAATGCAGCAGCCTTCCTAGCCCCCTCAGTTGAATACTGTCCTTCAAGTCTTGGGTCCATTATTCCATCAAGTTTGTAAGGATCCTTCAAAAGAGGCCGTGCCCATTGCACAAGGTTCTTCTCTCGACCAGGTCGGCTCTTGTCCACAGATCGCCTGCCTGTCAGCAGCTCTAAAAGTACTACTCCGAAGCTGAACACATCGCTCATAGTCGTCAAATGCCCTGGAAAATCACAAATCGCATTAATCCATGTCAAATATTATTAAATTAAAAATGATAACAGCAAAACTGAGATAAGAATTCTAGTACCAGTCGTTATGTATTCAGGAGCCGCGTAGCCTTCCGTGCCCATGACGCAAGTAGTAACATGAGTTTCTTCTCCCTCTGGACCGTCTGTCGCCAACCCAAAATCAGAGACCTTTGCGTTGTAAGCCTGACAATATAAAATAAACATAATTGATAATTCCTTTCAGTTTCTCTTCCGCCTTTACTGATGTAAGAAAATATCATGGACGCGATCAGTATGGACTGTTGGTAAAATATCAGATTTTAAGATATATTTGGTATATAAAATTATAATAAAATAAGATGATATTATGAATAAAATTTAAATTAAATAATATTATTTTATTTTATATTTGATATATGTAATGATTAAAATAAAAAAAATTTTAATTAAAATTATTTTTTTAAAAATTTATATAATTAAAATTATTGATATAATTTTTAAAAATATAATAAAAAATATAAATTTAATTATATACATTAAAAATAATTTTTTTCACTTTAAAAAAATTAAATCATCTTATATTAAAATAATGATAATCTTTTTTATAATCATATCATTTTTTTTAAATACAAATAAAATATAATACAGACTAATTATTATTCTATCTTATTTACCATCTTATGTGAAAAATATTATCTTAATTTCTATAGTCAAGATTTAAATACGACAATTACAAATAAAAAGAATAGTGATGGACAGTTAATATTCCTTTTTTAATATTATTAAGCGAGTGATATTTTACCAAGTCTAATAAGATGTTTGAAGTTTTGAAATCCCTGTATATGACTGGCTTCTCTTCTTCATGAAGGAAAGCTAGGCCTTTTGATGTTCCAACCGCAATTTTCAACCTTGTTAGCCAAGGCAATGGTGGACCATATCCTGCATTAAAGGCAAGAATTATATAATTTTTAGTCATGAGTTGAAGATTAAGATTATTCCCAAATGTTCAAATTGAAAGGGAAGAGCAAAACGAACTTTTAAACAGTTGGTCTTCTAAGTTGCCACGGGCCATGTATTCATACACCAGCAGCCTGTGCTCCTCCTCGTAGCAATATCCTACTAAGTTCACCAGGTGGGGGTGCTTTAATTGCCCCAGGAAAATAACTTCAGCCTATGGAAAATCAGAATTACCGATCATTTTACTATCTTCAACTCAACTTTATCAGGAACAGGATTGAAATGATAACATATAAATGCTTACCAGCCATTCCCTGTGCCCCTGAGTGCCATCCAAATCAAGGACCTTAACAGCAACAGCTTGAGCCTTCAGGTCAGGCCTGAGTTTGTCATCAATGAACCCCTTGTATACAGGTCCGAACCCACCCTCACCAAGATAATTACTCATGGAAAACTTGTGCGTTATCACTTCTAGCTCCTTGAGGGTAAAAATATGAACGCTTATAAGAGAATTTGACAGATCGCTTAGTGACAGTGGAGAACCATGGTGGCTAATATCAGAGAGTGATAGCCTTCGGCTAGGACTTTGTTTGGAAGCATGAACTTTAGGCCCTGAGGATGGATCCTTGGGTTTGAAGCAGTTGGGGAGGATATTTTTACATGACAAATACTTTTTGAGGGCCATATTTTATTGAACCTTTTGCGTTAGGCTCACAGTTTAAGCTCAAAGGTGGGTTTAAATAAGGCTGCCAACAATCAAGTCAATTGCCGTAAGAATACTGTATTCTTAGTTCTAGTATAACCAAAAATAAGTAAGGCCGAGCCGCGAGCAGGAAAGGAAACAGGAAGTAGAATGAAATCTGATTGGATTAAAAGACTTAAAAAGAAACATCTATGACCTGACTATAACCAATCACCTTCTTTTCCTTCTCTCCCAATTCTTGTTTATAGAAAAATTTTATAGCTCATGGATAGTGAAATTGCATTTAAATAATGAATTTTTTAAACCAGAAGTCTCTAAGACTGGCCATAACGCTGATTGACTTTGGGACAGTCTCAAGACTTGCTAACAGGTTTATCGGCAGAAAAAACCTCCGGATGGTTCATCTTAATTAAAAAAAAAAAAGAAAGTAAGGTAATTGGCTCTGTTTTTTCATTCAAATGCATAAATTTGGGCTTCTATGCAGTTTCATAGCTGGTTTCTTGGGGACTGTCTGAACCGGCTGATGATGAGAGAACACTTCTCGTAGTCGTTCGTATTATAAAATCTAGTACTATGTCTATGTGGCTGTTGGCTCTTATCTCCACTTTCATGTCTTTGAATTGTCATGTGTGGGATGAACAGGAAAAGAAAGGTGCCTTTTTCTAATAAGCCAAAAAAATCCATTCTCAAGCGGTCGTAAAGTTTGATGGTGGAGTGTTTGGCTCTTAAAATTTTCGCAACAAAAATATCCATTCCTTCACAACTGTTACGAGGTTACTGACAAGCTAGAAATATGCAAGCAGATTACCAGTTACCTAATTGACCTGGTTTATTTCATTTGCCTCATCTTACCATTGTTTTCATGCTTACAACCAAACCAAAGTTATATATATATATATTCTTGATCCCTACTAAAATATTATTAGAGAATTGAAATTGAAAAACAAACTGAAAAGAAAATATCAAAACTTTAGGTTTTTTCAGAGTTTTGAATACTAGTAACAAGCATATCAACATTATTGGTTATATTAATTGATATATCAAAATCATGGTAGACTTTCGTTTTCTGCAATTTAAAAATTATCAGACGATATTAATTTTTTAAGCAAACATGATAGCATAAGCAAGGTAATTTCTAAATCTAGACACATATATATGTGTCTTGATCAATTACCTAAACACTCAAAATTTTGTATGAAACTGTCAACAATCGCCTTGTAATATTGATCGTAAAACCCTCAAAATCCAACACATGCTCGAAGTAAATAACTACAAGCGTTTTCTAAACCAAGGTTGATGAGATTATTAGCTGGCTATAAATATTGAATTAACAAGAGAATCGGTTACCTTCACAAGAGGTTATTACACAATAGCAATCCATAACGAGGGCATAAACTAAGGTATTGTAACAGGTGCTTAAGATTCAATCGTTTTTGTGACACAAACATCGAGCATGTAACTCAATTTTTATGAAATTATATTTTTTTTTATAATAACTTATTTTAGTAGTAACTTTTTCTTCTATAAATGAATGGTCTTTTAATAATTTCATAAGTTTTTTATGCAAAAAATCTGTCACTACAATAATTGTATAACATATTACTTATGTCAATACAAATCATGAAGAACATTAACGACAAATCCCTCGCTTTCAAGAGCTGAGACTGCATTTATTGGCTATAATTAAGCCGATCAACTTCAAAAATTCTGGCTATAACACAATGGTCAGGTCCCCACCCCCCCTTCAATTTCTGCTTTCTCCATTTTTTGATTTGCAAATTGCTGATAATTCTTCTAGATTTTTAATTGGTCAGGTTATAGATGATTTTTTTTAAAGTCCCCACCATTCAACAAGTCATCGATGTACGGCTAATATATTTCAATTCATGAATGACTTGACAATACAAAATCTAGATGGTCATCACCAACAGTTTCCTCTGTATTGAGGGGAAGTCTTACAACTCTTTGTTTTTTTTTTTTTTTTTTGGGTAATTTTTGGTTAAATGAATTGGCACAACTATATGTATATAAATTCAATCCAATTACTTTTCCACAAGGGAAGACGATAACACTAAGGATGAAATGACCATTGACTGCTCATTTGGGTCTCTTTAGCAACACAAGTACATTTACTTTTTATCTAATCCTACTTTTCATGCCTTTTCATCAAAATCTTAAATGGTAAGTATGGTTCCATATACAATTTTTAGATTCTCATAAATTTATATTTTTTACGAATCTTTAAAATTTTCTTTTAAATTAAAAAAAAAAGTCTGGTCCGAGACAGATATTTATTATTAAATTAATATTCAAATTCGGTACTTTTAAAATTAAAATTTAATTGATATTGTTAATTACTTTGACCTAATTTGTTGCACAATGTATAAGTAAATATTGCTATTCTTAACAGAATTAAAGTGAAAATTCCAAATTATTAATTCTAATTTCTAACCTAACTTCTAATAATGACTTTGGTATTAACAATAGCCCCAACTTTAAACGTCATCATAGATTTTGAAAGTAGCATCAAAATGACTGCAATCCAACAAAGCAAATTTTCCAATTCTTGATATAATTGTTTGGAGTTTGTACTTTTTTTCTCTGAATTTTCCACAAGATAATCTAGTCTGGTCAATGAATAAATCATTAAACCTTTAATGTTAATAAATTTTTTATAAAACCCTTTTGAATCTTACTCTTCGCAACCAAGTCGTTAATGGTCATTATATTTTACTACATAAATTCTTGGACTACTGATATAATTTGAAGTAATTTTTTCTTTATCTATTACATCTTTTTAAAAATTCAAACTTAAAATATTAAATTATACATATATATATTTTATTTTAGTGGTAATACAAAGCGTCAAAATATTTATCGGTCAACTTATATATATATGTATAATTTATTAATAAAATATTAAATTTTTATTTCAATAATTAATATTTAATCCTTGCTAATTTCAAGAAAAAGAAAAACAAATGCATACTTGAGGAATAGAGGAGAGCCAAAATTGAAAAAAAAAAAAAAAAAAAGACATTCTATTTTATATGTGGTCCAAAAAAAAAAAAAAAGGTAATTAAGCAAGTCGTAAATGGATTCCAACCTTTCGGTATGATAAGGTCATATTTTTAAAAAAAAATTAGAGATATGATCGAAAACAAGTCAGATATTTTTAAAATGTTGAGGTTAGGTCGGGCGTGTTTTGAGGTATTGTACCCTAGCCTGCCGTGATATATAAATATATATATATATATATAAATATAAAATTATTTAATATTTTATAAATAATATAATTAAATTAAATACGAATTATATATATTTATATATATATTGAATCAAAATTAATTATAAAAAATAATAATTCGATATCAAATTAAAATCAAATAAAATATTTTTAAAATGGAATCAAAATCGAGATGAGCAAAAATCCAAATAGAGATGGATTTTCATCCATCTCCCGTTGTCATCTCAAGGATAGAGTAGTAGACAGAAATTGGAGACAACCAAAAATTTGCAATGAAATTAAAAAATTATTGGTTGACGGAGTATTTATCAATGTCACAACGAGTCATTCACGCTGATGGGCTGTACCAGTCGCCTTGTTTTGCCTAACGCTTTTAAGCCACAAATTCTTGGACTCGGATCAATAAGACAGGCAGCTTTCTAAACGTGTATCATATGCCAGTCGATCAAATTCAATTAATATTTTTGATATTAGAATTCCATTTAATACGGTCAGACTCAGTTATTGTTTTTAATTTTAATATTTTAGTATTTTAAATATATTAATAAGTTTTGTAATGATGCATAAGAACTTTGATCCATTCTCTACCATGAATTTCTTTTAAACTATTCGTATTATAATACTTAGAAAAATAAACATTGAAAAGCAATTGCTGTATCCTGGTCTAATTCCCATTAAAACGATTTTTTTTTATAATTTTTTTTTCCAATATACCAACATTTTTAATTTAAGGACATTTCACACGTGACAAAAGAAGAGGAAAGTAGATTTATCGTAATATTTTAATTTAGGGACATTATTAATAATATTTTAATTTTTAGTTTTTTTTTGTTTAATTATTTTTTTCTAAGAAAGTATAGTGAATATTGAATAATATGAAAATAAAGTTAAAATGAATAAATAGCTAAAAACATTAATACATTCATAACCAAACTAAAATGCAATTAATCCAAAGAGAAACAACCGGTACACGATTAATATTATCCTTTTTCATTATAATTTTATAAATCACAAACTTTATTTTATATGCTATTAAGATTTTTAAATTTCACAATCAAAATTAAAAAATAAATACATGTTCCATTAAAATATATAATATTTAAGTAAAATTTTAACTAAATAATCTATTATTTAATGAATTATTTAAAAATCATTTGACAACCATTTAATTCTATCATGAAATTTAAAAACTTCACCATTAATATTAAATAATAGTCCTTAGTGTTGAAGAATAAGAGATTTAATTCCATCATTTCATAATAGAACTTAATCACTGATTATTGAAAATAAATATTGCATAGTAGCAATGAATAAAAGAAATGGCTTGATGCTTATGGTCATTTTCTTTTTTCTTTTTTCTTTTTTTTTTTTGGGTAATAATCCAGTCACATACACAATTGAAAATATAAAATGAACCAAGAAAATTGTATTAAAAAATAGAAACTATGAACAGATCTCACAAAAACTTTAATCTTACTCAGCATGTTGAAGCTGAAGGAATTTAACCAAACTTCATGATTTCAAAGAAAGCTTGCTTCCGAAAATATACAACTGTAGAATCCATAAGAAAATGGAATATATCAGCCACTTATTGCCAACACAAAACAGAGCTATAATCTCAACAACTTAACCAGGACTGGGGTTCAAATATACCTCCTTGTCTGTGGAATAGGGCACACAAATGATATTTACATGAAGAAACCTGCAATATTTAACTTAATATAAGCAAATGTGAGAGAATTTATCTGAAAGAGGAAAACGACACAATTGCAGGATGTTAGGAGGAACCTTGGATGAAAAAAAAGGGGTTCGACACAAAACTGAAAAAGTATTAGAGTATCAAAGACAAATAATCGTTTTCCCATCTTAATGCTGCTATCTGAATACAAGGCTTCCATTCTGTTGGAGACGCAAGTCTTCAATAAGTTTCTGGTAAAATGATCTCAACGCCTTGATGTCACTACCCTGCAATTCAAAACCATCAAAGCATAGAGAAAACTTAAGAGCAGCAGCAGCAGCAATATTTGTGGAATTTAAGCTTATAATACCAACTAGGTATTCTTTAAGTGCCAACAATTAGGGATAATCAAGCCTAGGGCCAGAAAAGCAAGCTCAAAACACAGCAACCTACGTCTCATGAATGCAAGTTTAGATTTTAATTAGTACAATAAGTGTAACTTTGTCCTAGATGACTTAAGTGGCAAGTGTTTCCATCTTCGAGATCTTGGATTAGAGTTAACATTCAACGTTTACTTTTATGATTTTATAGATCTTAGTAGCCATACCAATATCTAAGGTACAAACCTAGTTGGTAACACAGTTAAGAGAAAAGTAACTGATTAAAGTAATTTTCAGAATGGAAAGGTTATCAGAAACCCGGTTTAGGTCACAGTTTGAGGCTGTTCTAGTGCAGGTTCCAACCTGTTGTCACTGTCAGTTTCATTGTATCATCCAACAATGAATTAAATACAACATAAAATAAAAGATAAGCTGATTAAAAATCAAAGAATATACGTAGGAGCTGTAAGTAGTAATAAACC